TGTCAGATTATTTAAGTGCACGTAACTTTTAAGAATAATTGAACTGCTATAAGCTATTCAAACTGTTGGGGCCATTACTGAAAAAGAAAGGGGATTGACTAGCGTTAGTGGAAGACAAGGGGAGAAAGGAGGGGAAGGGAAAGAGGGAGGGACAGACAAGGGTTTAGCAGTGCCAGTGTGTGCCAGGCACTCGGTGTAGGTCACTGATGAGATGGGATCATTAACCCCATTTTACAGACAAGGGGATGGAGGACTGAAGTTAAGCTGACTCTGCAGAGCAGATGGAAAGAGGCAGAGGTTCCATTCTTTCTGCCTCTGAGTCCATTCACTTCACCACATGCTCATACCTGCCTCATGATCTCATCTAGGGATGAAATAAAGGTCTCAGAAGAAGCATCCATTCCCATTTGTAAATAAGGGACATTTATTGAGTTCCCTGTTTCCTAGGCCCTGGACTAGATGCTTTGAATACAGAGATAAGTAAGTACTTCAGTGCTGACAACCCCAACCCTGTGCATGGACCGCTTACTGTCTAACAGACAGTGTTCTGAGCACTTGTCCCCTTCGTGTTATATGCTATACCACCCCTATGTTAGGAAGTGTGATTCCTTCTTTACAGATGAGGGGAAAGAGGTCTAGACTGGTTTGAAAGCCTTTCTAGGCACAGTGAGCAGTCCCCACATAGACCCTCAGGCCTGCCTGAATGTAACACATCCTTCCCCACACCACTCCCATTCATTATCTTGATAAATCAAGTTCCATACCCACAGGAGTTTAAATCTGGGAGGTGAGAAAATGACTATCCAAGTGATGATAATATAAGAAAGAATTAGTGCACTTATTCTCTTATTTCACAGCTGTTTTCTCTGATTATGAGGTCATCAGGGCTAAAGTCACAACCATTAAGCTAAAACATTAATTCACTATTTAGTGTATGCATCCATCATCAACTTTGTGTATCTATTTGCTGGAATAAGCCTTTTACCTCTGCTACAATCATAACCAGCTCTCAAGGAACATATATGACTTTGAACAGGTGAGCTGGAAATTCCATATTTCTGCATTTTTTGATAAGGAGAGGCCACTATTTTCACATAGACTTAAATAAGGCAATAGTTAGCATTTGGAATTCACCAAAGAACTATAAGCTGTACTTCAATTTCTCTACAGTTCTTCACTGCTTGTTTCTTAGCAAATCCCTTTGATTCTGGTAATGATAACTTTCCTCTTGTAGAGAGTTAAGGTGAACGTTTGCAGACTAAAAAACCCTTACACGGTCAAGCTAAATATCTTAAATCAATGTATAGGCAGAGTACCAGCAGTACACAATTAAAGAGTTTTTGATCTTAGGCATAGCAAACTATAAACAAATCATTAATGTCTTCCTGGTTGCCTATTCAGGTATGTACCTGCCAGGTCAGCTTCTAAATGGGGTCCTTCAAATAGAGTCAATTTCATTTTATTGGGAAGGAGAGATATGAAATGGAGCCAGGAGGTTAATATGAATTTAAGAGGAGGGTAGGGTTATCTTTGCAATTAAAAGGTCCTGCAGGAGGTTTATTATCCATACCCAGTACTTACACTCATGGAATGTATCAGCAGTTACAAAAATTTGTGTATCCATTCTGTACTGTGAATGGTATTATTTTACTCATTTTTTGCAGGGCTGAGTTCATTCAATATTCTTCCCATGACCCATTCAGGAAAAAAAAACAAATGAATGTCATTCAAGCTCACTGCAATGCTGCATAGAAAAAAAAAATGTGGCCAAGAATTGTACAGTGTAGAGAGTGAGAGCAAGACAGTGATGGAGGGCGACAGACGCAGACTGAGATTCAACCAGGTTTTGAAGACTTCAGCAAGAGGATTTGCTAAATGAAGAAGCAGATATGATGGGTGTTCCTGGGAGGTGGGCAGAGCAGTCAGGCGTGCGAGAGGGCACACTGGTATGCTTCTAATGACCTACAGCTTTTAAAATCTCTATGCAGAAAACTTCAGAGAAGCCAGTTTGCTGCTTGTTGGCCAGAATCATGATGGGATTTGTATTAGACAACAGTCCTTTTGACCCATTGCCTTCACTCTGTTGAAAGAGATTCCCAGGCTCAGGATGGAACAGCTCCTGTCCGGAGTGCACATTAGCAAACCGAGCCTTAGACAACTTTCACGTCCTTGTAACTCCTCCGCTTGACCAGAAACAAGGTATATTCAGCCATCCAATCTCTAAATGCCCAGCCAGCTCTGGGATCTATACTTACTTCCTCGTTTCTTCTTACCCTAAACAAGACTGACTCTGTGGCTCCAGCTGATCATATGTTTTCAATTTTTTCATCCTTGATATTTATTCTTTATCCTATAAATTTCCTGCCTTCCTATCCCATGTTGCAATTTTCTGAATGGAATCTGCTTCATGAAGTGTTAAATAAAGATTGTTTCTATCACCTAAATTGTTTCCTTTAATCATTTTTTAACAACCCTCATCCAAACTACCCTCACCTGCCTAACTACCATCATACCTTTAAAAGCCCCTCGTGGTCTCCCCACCACTTGTGCTCTGTCCAGCAGAGCAGCCAGAAATCTCTCACACTGGCAATCACATCATGTCACTCAGGAAATGGCTTTCCCTGCACTCAGGAGAAACAACTCAGAATCCTTACTTCAGGCCTTGTCCAACTTGATTTCCTACCATCTTTACCTCCTCCATCATTAAACCCTTAAACACACTGGCCTTGGGGATCCTCCTGACCTTGAGCAGAATCTTGGCTTCATGTCACCAGATGTCACCTACTCAAAGAGGCCCTCCTAAGCAGTCTATTGAATGTTGTCTACCCCTTCCCACTCTCAGGCATTATCACAGAACCTTCTGTGAATGGCCTCAGAGAGCTTGTACCTGAATTTACAGCATTTATCCATTTATCACATGCCTCCCCGTCCTTCCTGTCCCTCTGCCTGCTCAGCACATAGGGCAGTGCCCGGGACCCAGCTGGCCAGAGCTTGCAGCTCCTTCTGCAAGTGAGTTGCCCTGAACTACTCTCTGTCTTGGAGTGTGGAGATGAAGTCGGATCTTTACAAGTATTCAGGTATTATGACACCGTATGACTATTAAAACTGCAAAGATTATAGCCACACTTTACTGAGCACCTGCTTAGCGCCAGGTATTGTACTGGATGTTGTTCACATGCTTCATGCTTTAATCTCCCAACAATCCTGTGAGGTTACCTGTTCTGGTACATGACCTCCCTAGGCAGGTTACACCGGCTACTGAGAAATGTTCCAGATATGCCTGTGTTAGTCTTTTAAAGAATCACAATGTTTGATCAGTATTAATGTAAGTCTGTAAAGGATGTGAAACTGTTAAGGAATCTTTTGGGAAGTGAATTCAAACACCTAGAATAAACACTCTGGCCACTTTGCCCAGTCACATCGCACCACACCCTCCACCCCAACCCCAGGCGAAGACGCCACATTTCCAGGGACAGGCAGCGAGCCATCCCAGGCAGATTCTGCAGCTAATGAGACACCCTTCCTTTTCTCTGCTGGGAGGTAATGGCTTCAACTATCCCAGAACACAGCCTCCCCGGGAGCCCTGGAGTCTCTGCTGGGCAGGAAAGGAGCACATAAATATAATATAAGGTGTTATTAGTCTGGCAAAAGTACTCTAGTTCTGGACCAAGTATGTAGTGCAGCCCATTAGTATGATTTTGAAAAAAGAATTATAATAATTATTTTTGGCAGCCTGGAGTCTTTCATCTTTATGAGATGATAGCAGTGTTTAAAGAGGATTATCATAGTGCTGCATGATGATAATAATAATAATCCTTTATTAGGGTAATGCTTTAAAAGTTTTAAAAATACTTTGCTGTAAGATATGAGGATGGATCCTAATAGTGATCCTTTGAGGTATATGGAATAGTAATTATTTGCCACCACATTTCACAGTAGGGGAAACTGAGGCCCAGGGCAATGAAACAGCACTTCAAGCCATGGACAAGCACTTCAAGCTAAGCATGGCAGGGCAGCGCTGGGACCCACCAGCACCGATTCCTAGTCCAGTGTTCTTTGAATAAGTCATTATTCCTTAAAAGATTTTAAAGAGAACACCAGAAAAGATTTGTGGGGCATGAGTGTGTATATGTGTGTGTGTGTGTGTGTGTGTGTGTGTGTGTGTGTGTGTGTGTGTAAGGCAGACCTGTGGATTCCATTAAATAATTCTTTGGGACTAAAAGATCATTTCAGAAGTGTGGACACATTATAAAACCTTAACAAAGCCCTGGGTGCAAACTTCCAAGCATTCTCATTGTTCTGTCAGACTGTCACACTTAAATCACGGTGTCATAAAACCACCCAGACTTCAAGCTTCCCAATAAAAATACTCGATATGTATAGAAGAATGTTCCATGAAGCTCTTTCATATTTATTTTCTCACCCTTTGCCTTATGGTGCTTTTCTCTCCCTCCAGAAATAATGCTTTTATAGTTTATATTGCTGCTGTTTCTGTCTTAATGAATTATAGGGGTACATTTTATGGTTTCAGAAACATTTCTCTCAGGCAGTGAATCAACTAGCAGCCTTCTCCTCCTCAACCCTCTCCCAAGAAAGGAAATGAGGAGCAAGGACAGAACCCTTCTGCACAGAGGAGGTACTTCACTTAAACTGGAGCACTTGGAGTTGTTCTCCTTTTACATCCGAGGCTGCAGAGGCCCAGGAGGCTCCACTCCTGAACTTGCTTTTCTTGTTATTGGAAAAGGGGCTTGGAGTCAAGGGAGAGATGCTTGTTCTCAGCAGAGGGCGAAGGCTGCTCCCCCATCCTTGCAGCCCAAGGACTGCACTCTGAGGAATGCACCAGAAATCACCAAACGCTCTACCCATCAACCCGAGCCAAACCGCTTCCTTTTGGAGCCCACTGTTTCAATACATTTAATTTCTAGCTTATACGGAAGGTTAGAGAAGTTTAGTGAAAAGCAGTTTTAATGAACGCCAGTCAGTTCTCTCTGTGTACTCACCTCCAGAAAATGCTCCGCCTGCTGTTCGCGATCCAATTTCCTTGAAGTTGTTGTAATCAGACCTGTGTAGAAATGAGATTATTTGACTTTTAAATATTTGGGTAAGTAGCTTACTGAGCAAGTCCAGTTAAAGGAAAAGCAAAAGTAATGGGGAACAGTAACTCTCCAATCCCCAGGGACAACCAGAGGGTCTCAGAATTATTCTTACAACAAAATAAAATTGATAAAGCAAACCTGAGACATATGGTCCACTTCTACTTACCTCAGTTAGGTACTGTAATCACTCTGGGGATGTAACAATTCACCAGAGAACCACTCTTTTTCTGATAATGAGGAATTTCAATGATCCATTTGCATATGACTGAAATTCTACCTTAGGAGTCTCATTAAAGATTTGCATGCTCTTGAACCATTAATAGGTTGTTGATGCTGGTTGTAGATTCAAGCTATGAAACAGCATCTTCTTATTTAACATTTTTATGTGTATATAATTTTTTTTGGTTATACATGATAAAGAAGGTTCTTTCTGTAATAACTATGTGTAGACATAATTATTTCAAATTTTGTAACTCTTACACACAGAAGATCTCATACTGTAATTTTATCATTGTTGTGTGTGATTAAATCTTTACACAGAATAAGTTCCACCTGGGAAATATCATTGTATCTTTCCTTGAAATGGTGTTTCTCATAAATGAATCACCCCTTTGAGTATAAAGACAAAAGGCAATCGGAAGAAAACACTGTTGTGCATGCCCAGCTTATGGCACCCATTTGTCTGCTGTGTGTTTTATTATTATTATTGTCAAGAGGCAATTAGGAGGTCAAATTTACATTGCATTTCTTGACTCTACAATGTCCCTGAAGACAAGAGACTGTGGATTGGGCTGCTTTCATGAACATATGCTGATTGACAGGGAAGAGCAGAGAAAATCAGAGAAAAGCTCACTCCCAACACTGATGAGGTGTGTGAAATATGGAAAAGATATTTTATTAAGCTCTGCTGAGGAGCTCATGACCTCCAGCTTTTGTTTTATACAGAACTGATGGGCAGATTAAGCAGATTTCAGGGAAAGCCAAGAAGAGGCCACACGAAGCTCAATGGTCTTCAGAGTAAAATCTCACTGGAGGCTCGAGCACGGCTGTTCCCAAGTCGGCCCCACTCTCATCTGCTCTCCTCTGCTCAGCCCCCACCCACCATGGGAGGGAAACCTATCCTCCCACTGCACAAATCATCTCCCTTTCCATGAATTCTTCGTGGAATATGCCCCAACCCGCTGCTTAACTCACGGGTTTTTCAAATTGCGCTCAGGTGTTGGAGAGGTGACCGCTTTACCTGGTTAGGTGCCCACCTACCACGTCCTGACATAGCCAGTATACTCCACTACTGTGGTTCTTTGCCCTCTGCTGCAATCCTTTGCTCACATGCCTATATTTTCCCACTAGACAGGCCGAAAAAATTCCTGCAAGGGAAGGGCTAGCCTTTTCATTCTGCAGCCCTGGGGCCTACCTAGTCTCTGGACCGAAAGAAAGAATAAGAGCTTTATTAATGTTCAGTTCACAGAAGTTGCTGTAGAAGAGATGGATGACATCCTAATCTTTAGTTTTGCCATAGATTTAAAATGTGTTTGTTTAGGAAGGTGTTATTTTGTATGTAGGGAGAGTATCTGTGGGTAGGTAGGGGGTGTGCCTCTAATACTCATTTGAAACCACTTGGTACTCATTTGAAGACCACTGAGCTCCTCTTTGTGACAGATGCAGGGCTCAGCGCTCTTGGAATTCAAAGATGAACCAGAGTCTGAGATGATGGAGAGAAGACTGCCATCAAGGCAGTGATTATCGGCAACTTCTCTCCCTAATTGCCCATCAGAACCTTTGGAAACTCAAAAAACAGATTCTGTGGTCCACTCCATCCCTCATTTACTGCATCCAAGTCTCCTGGGATGATGCCTGAGTCGGCCCTCTGATTCTAAGAGAAGGCTCTATGCAATTCCACCAACCTCTGTTGAATCTTGCTGTGACTTTTTGTTGACAGGAATTTTTTTGCCCAGCTGTATCCAAGAATGAAATAAGCTGAGCTGCTTTAGCAACTGAATCTGAACGTCAGGCTCCACATGTGGGGTGCACCGGGGGGAGAGGGAAATGATGGGTGAGGGCGCAGACCGGGGACGATCAGGGAGGGATAAAGGAGAGCACAGGGCTCTGACTCATACTGACCAAGGGCCACCGCGGTCACACCAGGGGTGTCTAGCACACAAATCTGCTGCCTTCATTTTCAGGCCTTTCTATCTGACAAGGTCATAAGTCAAGGAGGCTCTTTCCAAGTGAGAAGTAACCACCTTCTCAATGGGGGCAGGAGGCTTTCCTGAACCTCACCACCTTTTCAGGGGACAATCCTCAGTGAGAGGTCACAATGAGAATGAGTAACCCTTATTATACTGAAGCTATAAATGGATGAAAGAGCTGTAAACCTCCACTCTACTGTCCACCTGCTGCTCTTCCAGGCACAAAAGACCAGGAGCCCCTTTGCCTTTTGTTGCCCTGGGGACATTCCTGTCATTTCAGGTCCTCCTGGCCCAGGTCACTCAGTCACGGCTCACTGTGGTGTAAGTGTATGGGGAAGGGGCCGGCTTCCTCTCCTGATTATTCCTGGGGTGATGTTTAAGGAAAGTTACTTATTTTCACAGTGCCCATGTGTCACTGAGAGAGCAGTGTGGCTCCCCTTCCATCCATACACCTTCCGTAGGATGTATTTTTCACATATTTATCAGCCAAAAGAGAAAGAGAGAGGCTTCCTGGAACGTCTGAAACAATATACACACCAGTGAACCTGGAGCTGTGGGAAGCCAAGCAGCTTCTGTTCCTTTAAGAAAAGCAGGAAAACCTTTGTAGGCTTCAGTTCTCTGGGTTTCTATCACCTTTATTTTCACAGATGTGAGGTAGAAGGCAGGTAAAAACAACTCTAAGTCAAAAGTGAAAATTGGTAGGAAATCAGATGAGGTGAGGTGGGGGACAGCTGAGTGACTGAGAATGGGAACAAGGATTTTTTTTGTGGTGATGAAAATGGTCTAAAATTATAGACTAGAGTGCTGGTGGTGCAGTTTATTAAGTATTCTGAAAACCATTGAACTGTACACTTTAAATGGGTAAGCGTTGTATGCGATTTATACAATCATGTGAGTAAAGAGTTTAAAATCAGTAGGAGATTATAAACTTCGCGTTTTAGATTTTAATAAGTTTCTCATGTTCAGAGACGACAGGCATTTAAAAATTACTTGAATGAATAAGTTTGTTTAGGAATTACACATGAAGAGCCATTGGAATGAATAGAAGGATCAGGCTTGTCTAAGGAGAATCTGGAACATAAAAATAATGACCAGAATATTTTGGGCTAAAGCCACAGCTGCTAGTTATTTGTACCAAAATAATAACCTTGTTATCAAGCCAAGGCCAGCTAAACCAAGAAGGGGCAAAAGAGCTTTCTTCCTGCTGAAAGTACATACTTAGGGTGAGCTACGGTGCTCCAGCAGCACTATGTTATTTACTGTCAGAAAGGAATGCAATGAGCCATTGCTCACAGTCCAAAGGAATTAGTCAAAATTGCCAATGCGGCATCTTCATTTTTTGCAACTCTGTTGCAGCTGAAGTAGCTTGGGCCTTAGAACAGGAAAAAGAATAAAACAGAGCAACCTCCCTCCTTACCACCCCGATCCATCACTGTGGCAGGCAGCCTCATTGTGCAATCTCTGCGGGAAAGAGGCGTGCACATCACACATGTAACTGTAGACCCACTGGGCACAGTAAATTGGGGACTGACATGACGAAATTGAATTTCAAAGATAAGTCAGACGTGAGCTTTTGAATGTGGTTTGGAGATATAAACAAACACATTATTTGCTATAATTACATATGCAAACCTCCAATTTAGGAGGGGAATCACGCCGGTCCTAAGGGAATGATACTCAGTTAAAGAGTGGGGAGGGCATATGGCTAGAACCATGCAATTACTTTCAAAATGGCTACTTCTGATTTTTTGTTGTGGAGACGGGGGAATCTAACAATCTCTGAGAAATGGCCCAAGAACAAGAATGTTGCTGCCTGTTCAAAATACAAACTCAAACTGTTCTAAATAGTTACAGCCCAGAAGTGATACTTGTAAGGATGACACCTTTTCCTTACTTTTCTTCCCTGCGGGTGTCCCAGGTCACAGCTGTGTAATCTGCTGCCGTGACATTCACATTTTCTGTAAGTGCTACTTGACACAGCATAGGTTTTGGGAGTTTCAGCATCATTTTCCAGGACTGTTGGAAGCTCAGTTTGGTATTAAAAATGCAACAAGAATTATCAGCCCTGGGAGCTACAATTAGCGCTGACTCTGTCATTTTCATATCCCATTTCTTCTGCTTACCATTCCTCCATGCCTACCCCTAGCTACCTGGTAAACCCCTCACATCCTTTCAGACAGTTCAATGTCACCTCCTCCGTGAAGCCTTCTCTGACCTCTGCTCCTCTAGCATGTTGCATGCAACTCATTTACTGTCTGCAGGTCACATCTGCAGATCTACCTACACATCCACCCTGCAGATCAACAGTTCCAGGAAAGCCGGATTTGGGGTAGTTCACTAGCTGAACTCAGGAACTTAGATCAGTGCCTGTCACATTCGTTGAATTTATATTGGATGATCAAAATAAGGAAGAGGTGGCTGGAAATCTACATTACAATATATGGATGGGTCTTAGAGATGATCTTGTCTGGGAAGCGTTGCCAGCTCCCAATATTTGCCTCTAATTGTTCGTTAAACAGTCAATATTGCCTAATAGGATACATGGAAAAAGGGCAGTGAATAGATCATCCTGCGTACTTGGTGTATAACACAGAAGCTGATACGCTGCAGGAACGATGCAAAACTTGTTTGAATGTGGGTGCCGTGGATGCGGTCACCATGGATGCGGTCCTCCAGAATTTTCAATATTGTTTTATACAGAGTGGACTTACGGGGCCTCAACCATGGGAGTTAAAAGTTTCCTGAATATTCTCTTTCATTTTTTGAATTATTTAATG